TCAGAAAGCATCCCATGATAATCATTTACCCTGCTCATGCCTACCACCAACACAAAAGGACTGACATTACTCTCCCACAGCCTTATCAGATAAGCAATTATGCTAATCTAGTCAAAACATATGTTGTTGAACACATATATACCAAAAGTGAGGCATGTCGTATCACATTAGTATTCTCATTTTTCTCACACATTATTCAACATACCATCTTTTTAGCATTAGCACTCTGGAAGCATTGGTTCTGTATGAAGCTGGCGGCACAGATCAGTGTTTCCTCATTATTTTGGGTCAGGAGGTTCACGGCTCTCTCCAGCGTCATCTCTGGAGGCTTGTTGGCTGATTTCCTGTGTGAGAAGACACAAAATACGGTTCACGGCCTGAATCATTCATCAGGGCATTGCAGGAATAAATGGAATTACTAAATGTACAAATTGAACACACAGATCTTACAGTGTTGTGATGTTCTGCGCCTGAACCTGCTGGATGGGGAAATCTACTTCCTCATTCCGCCTCCCCAGGTCCACCTCTGCGCTGACGACTGAAGGCGGGTATGAATTCATTCTGAGGGACCCCTTGCCGTTCCTCCTGACCTGTGCCAGCCAGGATAAACCTCCATCGGGCTGGACAGGACTAAGCATCAGATCACCATTCTGTCCCTGCACAGTGTGTTTCTCCTGTTTGACAACACTTTGTCTGTAACCCCACTGAGATCCATCTTCACCACTTTGTCGAAACACTGCTTTTGCAAACCCAGCCTGAGGCCCCGCTGTCTGTCTCAGTGACCTCCGGCGGTGCACCCCCAGTGGAGACGTGGACGCCTGCATCTGCGATCCACGAGGCACCTCTGAGAAAGCGTAGCGCCGCAGCGAGTCGGACCCATGTGAGCGGGACAGCAGGGAGCCCGGCACGTGGGAGTGACTGGGTCCTGGGATGGTGTGAGTCCCGTAACGGAAGGCGCTGTAATTGAAGCGGGTGCGACCTAACTCTGGGCTCGGCGGTGGAGACACTTCCACCCTCCTGGATGGTCTCTGCAGAGTTTTGCTTGAGAGGGAGCGGCTGTGGAAACTTGATCCATTTACCTGTGAAAGAAAAAACACTTGACCTGTTTGCTCTGCTCTCTTCTCAGGTGAGATTTTTAATTTACAAGCAGGATAGTTGAAAATGTGCAAAATACACACTAATAAACCGTGTAAACAGTTTATAAGTTACTTTGATTCATATAATACAAAATGTATGATACATATAAGAAGACACAACTCCAAAATGTCATGGAGGTTACTGTTGTTATGCCAAAAAACAGGAATCAATATGTAAAGCATTTCTAAAGCTACCAGTACTGGAAAAAAAGGGCGAATCTACATACTACAGATATTTTACTACTCTCAATTTGACTTTGTTTCCATACTTGTCTCCTATCTGCTTTGTGTACACACAGTCTGCAGTTCAACCAAGAAGTCCCTGGATTTGAATTTTATTTTATTTATTTATTCTTTTACAGAATCTCGTTGGAGCAAATACTTCATTTTTGACAAAAAATATAAAAAGGCACATAGAATTAAGCAATTTTAATGAAATATTGCAATTTTCTGCTCAGATTTATTACATTTTCCAGTGGGACCACAGATGAGTAGTTTCAAGGACTAAAAGCAAGTCAAAAACGTAGTATTTCTTTCTGATTATTTTATTTCTTGCTCTGTCATTTGTCACAAGAAAAACATGCAGGTTTTAGGGTTCAACAGGTTAAACTGCATTGTATAACAAAAAATGGTGTAATATTTATTAAAACTACTGCACTGTCATCTTTTATTTATGTGACTTTTTGTAAATAACAATATTTCTTTATGATGTGCAGTAAATATATTGGGTTAAATCTACATGGGACCTGACACAATAATACAGTACAGCTGAATACAGCAATAAATAAGGATGTGAGTTAAATATTAAAATGGAGCTAAAATAAAAGATGGAGCTTGGTACCTTTCATTTAATCTCCAACCAGTTGTTTTAATTAAGCAAATCCTTTTCCTTTTTGTTGGCTTTTTCAATAATAAATTATGTTGTACATCATTTTATCAGCGGATTAGTGGTCAGGAAAAAGACATTTTGTCAGGTTCATACACCCGTAACATTGTTTAAACACTCACAAATGATATGTAAAGTAAAGCTAAAGCTGATAATACAGTGACTGATTTGATCTGATAAAGGCTGTGAAGATACAGGAAGCAGCAGCAGCAAACCGCACACGCTCTCTTTTGACTACATTCAAATTATGGAGTCAAAGGGAAGCATGATATGAGGATACAAGAAGAAGAAGTTCATTTTTTATATGATGGGCAGGTACAGAAAGAACACAGCTTCATGAGATAAACCTACTAGAGATAGATGACAAAGATAGTAAAAGTCAATTAACTGAGTGTGTTGGAGGTTGCATTAGTAAAGAAAGAAACGAGTGAAAGAGTTTCCTACCTTCACATTTGGTAAAAATCCATCTGCAGCATCGAAGCTCTTTGCTGTGTTCTTCTGGAAATGGAAACCACCTGAAACAAGTCGAGGAGGTTTTGTTAGAATATATCGTTCCATTTGCTAACTACCTAAATGTACGGCAACACTTTGTCCTGAATCCCACCCAGCAGAGGACAGACTGGAAGTGTCTCTGTAACCTGCAAACCAAATGTCGGACTAATTCACATGAATAAGGATCACATTCTGATAGATTGTTGCCTGTTAATCAGTAACAGTCGGCAGAAGAAAGGAGCAGACGGATTATTACTTTATCACTTTATATCTAGTAATATCGTCCTACATTGTGGTGTTATATAATACCGCCTAACAAAGGAACAAAAAACAATACGCAGTAATTTATTATGGAGAGCGGAAAGTTCAGGTACACCAAGTGGGAAGTCCGGTGACCAAAAATTAAAATTTACTACTACTTTGATGAATAATTAATCTTTTTGGTCAATTTTCAAACCTAAAATAGTCAAAATGTTGTTGCTCAAATGTGATGATTTGTTGCTGTTCTTTGTCAAACATGAATATAATGTCTTATCTTTGTAAAGCACCTTGTAACTCCAGTAGTAGCAGCAGTAGTAGAAGTAGTATTACTGTGATAAGAAGTTAGAATAAACATCCATCCATCATCTATACACCACTTAATCCTCACTAGGGTCTTGGGGGGGCTGGAGTCTATCCCAGCTGACTCAGGGTGAAGGCAGGGGACACCCTGGACAGGTCACCAGTCTATCACAGGGCTACACTTAGAGACAGACAACCAAGCACACTCACATTCACACCTACGGACAATTTAGAATCACCAATTAACCTCAACATGTTTTTGGACTTTGTGGGAGGAAGTTGGAGAACCCGGAGAGAACCCACATTAGAATATACAGTATAATAATATTATATTATGACATTTTATATTGTCAGGTTAGGAATGAATAAAACAGCAGCAGCATTTAAACATTTCAAGATGTTACTTTTGTTTTGTAAAATGGATATTTTATGGAAAAAGACAAGTAATGATTTGATTAAGAAAAACATCATTTAAAAAAAAAAGTTCATTTCTGCCATATTGACAGTGAGTGGTGCCTTTTTTTTATCTTTGTTTTTCTTTTTCTTTTTTTTAACAAATTTTACCTGAATGATTTCAACTCTTATTTCATGTTACTGGTTTGTAGATCTCTGATGGACCGTTTTTAAGTGCAGGAATTTAATTAATTTTAAATCCCAAATCCCATTCTCTCTCTATGTATAACATGAGCAGTTACCAAAATTAAATCAATACTATCCCAAAAAGATTATTATTATGATGATTGACTTACTAACTGGAGTTTAAAGTTGACCAGCCTCCCTTATTCGTGATTCCTACTACATCATAAACAAGCTCTAGCGTGCTTGAAATCAGGCCAATAGGTGAGATAATAACCTCACGTTTGGTCCGCCGTCACATCTGTCAGCCTTCAGGCAGACGGATGAAACTGAAGGAACCTGTTGAACAAGGGAACCAGTACACAGGCTGCATTCCACTCTCAAAAATGTAGTTTAGTCTAAATAACAGAAGTTTTACAGAAGACTGCATTTCAGACAACACAGTGGAGGACACTGATCATCCATAGAAATATTATCAGGACCATCTCAGAGGGTCACCAAGACATTTACTCAAATGTGGCTATTTTAGAAACTATCAGGATGGTTGATCTGATGAAAAAATAACAGCTAGAATGAAGAAATATGAGTGGATTGTTGCTCACAGCTTATACTCAACAACAGGACAATATAATTCAAGTCTAAACTGCTGTTCAGTCGTGTGGTTTTATGGTATAATACAGAGCTTTTCCTGTTATTACTCTTCTTACTCTCATTTATTACTCCGGTTTAGGCAAGTTTATGTCTCTTTTTCACAGTACTTTCTTATTTACACAGTACTTTTATACTTTTCTTTTACATCTATTGTTTAATTCAGATTTTTTTTTTTAGATTTCTATATTTACTGCCTGTCTTGTTATTGTTGAGTACCACAGTTTCATTCATCATGTCAAACTCCTTGTGTGTGCCAGCTCACTTGGCAATAAAAGCGTTCTGTATTCTAATTTTTCAGAATAAGATACAGTCTAAGATGGTAACATGACTACAGATGTGTCAAAGCTGTGCTCCCACACTGTCCCACCCTCTGTTACTTCCAGTATGCAACAGAAAAGATGATCCCTTCAGGTGGGGAGTGGCCTGAGGTGCATCTGGAGAGCTGTGGGAAAATACAACCCCTGCATTAACCCCGTCAGGAGCAGATGAAACAAATCAATACTACCGTTTGAGTGAGTCTTCCGTGCCTGTCGGGCCAGAGTGAGCTGGACCTGTTGCTGGACTCTCTGGCTCCGGGAGTCGGAGTCGAGTTTCGTCGAGGATCTGGTAGAGAGCTGGACCGGCAGAGCCAGACTGGAGTCATCCAGCACCGAGGAGTCCTGCGCAGGTAGAGCCGATTTAAAAAACACCTCGTCCATCGTGAACTCCCACACACTCAGCGAGAAACACGTTAAGAGTCTGAGGTCTGAGACTTCATTTAATCAGAGGGCTGGTTCCTGGATCCTCAGTCTTTGTTGTCGCGGCTCAGGTGGGTCGTGACAGAAAAGGGGGCGGAGCCAGAGGCGCACCTGAAGTGTCAGGTGTCCTGCTGGGAGGGATCAGATCACCGCACTTCTATTATGAATGAAACAAATCCTCATTCAGGTTGACGTGTGCTTTAAGAATGTTCCTTTTCTGCTACTTTATACTTCATTGTGCTGATCAGGGAAATAATGATTCAGTTTCTCTACCTCTATGTAACAGATACACACAGAAAGAATGTGTTTCAGGTTGATTCATGGTCAAAAGGCTGGTTTTTGTTAAAAAGATAAATTAAAAAATCAGTTGTGGGTCCACCTTTTGAAAGTCTAATTGTTGAAAAGATGCATATATATGTGTGTGTGTTATAATGTGGTTTAATTTGACAATTAAAATGCCATAATTTAATCAATGTTGTGTCAACATGCTGTGTTTAAGTGTCATCACACACTGGAGTTCCAAGGAAATTATTTATTTATATAATAGCCATTATGCTTATTAGTTATTTTTAAAGTAAAGAATAACTTCCAGAGAATGTTTAGGGAACACTTCTGGATGTTCTCTGAAGGGTCAGGAAACAGTAACCTTCATGGAACCTTTAGAAAATGTTTGGGAAATGTTCCTTTGATGTTCCCTGAAAAAAAAAATCCAAACAGTAACCTTCAGGGAGTGTTCCTTGAATGTTTTTGTTAGGTTCAGTGATGAGTATCCTTCAGGGAACAATATTCAGAAAATGTTTGGGAAATGTTTCTTGGACATCTAGGGAATGTTTAAAAAAAAAAAAACAAAAAAAACAAACAAAGTTTCAGCCAACAGTAACCTTTAGAGAATGTTCTGGAAACATTCTTAGGGTGTTCCCCCAAGGGTTCCAAAAGAGTAATATATGTTCAGGAAATGTTCCCTGACATTCTCTAAAGGTTCAGAGAACAACAACCCTGTTCTCTGAAGGTTCCCAAATAGTAATCTTCTGAGAATGTTCCCTTGACCTTTTCTGATAGTTCCAAAATAGCAACCTTCAGGTGAATGTTCAGGGAATGTTTCCTAGATGTTTTCAGTAAGTTAAGTGAAGGCTAACCATTCCTTGAAGGTTTGCAGACAGTAATCTTCAGGGAATGTTCATCTCAAGTTCCCTGGATGTTCTCAGAAGGTTCAGTGAAAAGTAGCTCTTCCCTAAAGGTTCTGAAATAGTAACCTTCAGAATGTTTTCTGAAGGTTCCCTGAACATAGATTTGATGTAGAAACAATCATTCAGTCAGATTTTGCTGTCTGGGTGGTTAAGTTTCAGTTTGTTTAAAAATTGTTGCTGAATGATGGAGTAAGTTACCCGACATACAAATGTTGTTGAAGGAATCAGGATTGGGGAGTGTTAGTTTACACAAGAAGACTGAGAGCTCCATCTGCCCAATAAGTATGGAAACAAGTGTGGACAAGTATGGAAAGAGTTGTCAAACATTTTCCATTATGGTTGATAGTTGTGGGCACTTGGAAAAATGTTGGACATGTTGATTTTGTTTCGTAAAATAAATATTCATACTTGAGTGATGATTTGTGGCGGTAGAGATTCATTATAGCGCACAGAAGACTTTTTTGAGTCTAGAAATGGTTGTGTTGTATGAACAGAGGTGCAGGACTTTATATTGTAGTGAAAAATGAGCCCACAGTGAGTAAAAATGCCACAGGAGCAAAACTCACTCGGAAGCTGCCTGGAGTTCTGAGTGTCACTTCATTTACCCTCGATAGAAAACAACTGCTTTAGTGCCAATTACCAGGCAGGACACACCATTTCCTTAAACATGTCTCCTTCTTGGAACAGACTTGCCGTGAAAACTGACTAATAGACTCTTTTAGTCGTCAGCTGTAGGCGTCGTCGTGATCAATTTCCCACACCGTCCCACAGCGCCGCCCTCTTTGGCTTCAGCTGCACGAGGAAACAGCTGCCAGACACCAGGTCGATCCCACCAGGTGTGTCTCTCCAGGGAAAGCAGCTACTGTCAGGCTTCCACAAGAGTAATTAGACTTTTAAAGAAAAACAGCAGTGACTTTTATCAGCAATAACTAGCAAACATTCACGATAAAGGCCTCTCCATTTAGCTTTGACATTATGTTGACTAATGGGCAGCAGGGGGTTGATCAGCTTGTTTTTATCGCAGATGGGAACAAAGACCGACTTCTATTCTCCTCCTTTGCTAAGATAAGTGCTTCTCAAACAAAGCTGGGTTATGATTTAAAGCGGCTTCTTTGAATATGGTTTAGAAACATTTCAGAATGGAAACTCTAAACGTCTTCAGAGCAGCTCTGTATTCTGTCTTCAATCTTGTCCCAGAGTCAAAGTTTTATGGCCCCCTGTTATCTGAGACTGTGCAAACTGTCTAACCCCAAAATGTCAGCTAATAAATGTGTCGCATTACAGATGCTAATCCCTGCTGAGAATGGAGGAGCGGGGGTGGGAATTAGCACTTTCTTTTTACCCTCAGGCCCTTATAGCAGGTTGATCTGGTCATCGCTCCAAATCTATTAATACACTAAAGCTTTGTATCTTCCCAAACATGATGACTCATTCTCTTTTTTTTTTTTCCACCATTCTGCCTCCCAGTCAGCAAACATAAATGAATATTCAACACCAGTTATTTTCAGATTTTTCCCCTTTAATTCAATCTTTTCTCCAAAAACAATCTTTCCAGTCCAATTCTTTAAATCACTTTCACATTTTGCTGTGCATAAGAATATAATAAACGGTGACAAATCTTCAGTTTGAAAATGCTCCGGACAGAAAAAACGCAGATCAGCAAAGACCCCGAGCATCAAACAGCATTTCAGCAAATGGAGAAAGAAGGTGTTTCAGGGGGGAACCGAGCCGCAAAACAGCAGAAATCAGTTCAGTTTATGTTCAATTTATGTCGTCTGAGTTAGTTTTTTTATGCTCTACTACGTGACAAGTGGATTTCAAATCAGTGTGGGGCAAAGAATAACAGCGTAGTCATAATCTGAACCATGGAGGATGCAGTCAATGTCTAAAAACACACTTTTTCACATTATAAATGATTATATTTAGAAATACACAGACTTAATCAAACAATGTTTAGGATCGTTGTGTTTTTTTTCTCACAAAAATTACAGATCTGTAAAATGTCAAGAATTTTTTTCCATCAGAAGACAAAGAAATGTTTAATTTGGCACATCGTCTTTTACGTTCATTTCCTGTATTCACACACACACACACACACACAAATACCTGTGAAACAAGGCCGAAAGTTTATGATAGCTGAACTGGTGTTTCAGAGTCGGTGATACCGCAGATAAGGTTTCGTGAGAGAGCAGCGTCGATAGGGAAGGTAAGGGGAAACCAAAGTTTTGAAGCATGAAAGAGTCTGTTTTGCTCGTTTTATAAAACTGTTAAACTTAACATTTCCTCCAGCGTATAAGAAATTAAAACTACATTTTCTTCATTTCCAAATCTTTAAAACATTCCTCTGATCCAAAATTTTTCCAAAAGGTTATATATCTGTATTTAAAAAATAAAACTAAAATTTGCTCAGTCATGTCTCTCGGTGTTTGTGTGGCTGGTTGGCCCAAACAAACACAAGTTTACCCATTTCTCTAAACTCTTCGGTGTGAGGTTTCAGGTTACCATGCGCTACCCTAGTCCATTCTGTGCTGTCAGTCATTTTAATCAGACTACATTTCCCAGGACACCTCGCTCTGAAATGTATCTCTCGATCCTTTCTGGACAACAGCGTGGATTTCTCTTCCACTCGCGGTGTTTGGTATCATTCCTCACGTCATCTTAAACCTGTGGCACATTGTCAGAAGTGATACAAACATCCTGTACTGTACATACTCGGTGGAGGTTTTTTTTTTTTCTACATGTCTCGGTTTTTTTTTTTCTCGCCATTTGTACATTGTTAAAAAATATATAAAATATTAAAGAGAAAAATTTACAGGTTCACTCAGGTTAAAAACACATTTTCAATGGTTCTCCTCAAAGCTATTTACAAATCTCTGTGTGGTTACTAGTCGTCATTCAGCTGTCGAAGCAGGAGGGAGTTGTCAGTGAGGAAGAAGCAGAAAAATATACATCTGAAATGTGATATTCAGCAGCAACCGTGAGCCGCTTTGCTCGGAGTATCGGTTTTCTTTTTTAAAAATGGATTTAAAATTTTTTGGGGTCAGTTTTGCAGCAAAAAATATTATATATTAAACTGCACTGCACTTTATTTATTTTTTTAAATCAAACTCTTCTGAGTGGGATGCAAGTAGAGCAATAATCGAGCACGTTATTAGATTAATCAAAGACTACAGTAAGTGGCAGATTAATTTGTTGCATTAGTTGCAGCCCTGGACGCAGGCAGTCGTAGTTACTTGCGAGTAAACAATCATACCGTGCGTGAAAACGATGTCATTAGTGAACAGTTTTACCAGATTTCCTTGCAGCACCATGTGACGTGATAAAACCACTGCAGCTTCAAGAAGAGAGCAGACAATCACTATCATTTTTCATTCAGTGTAAATTACACAAATCCACTTTTTAAATTAACGGAAGTGGAAAAACTCAGGTGAGCCGGGCAGCGTACAGTAACACACTAAGGCAAAGACGAACTTTGCACCTTTAAATACTTTCACTGGGAAACGCAAAGCATCGATTAAAAAAAAAAAAAAAAAAGGTTTGTGGCTTTAAACTGAAACGTTTGTTGGATGAGTCAAGGCTAACCGACTCGTAACTTTGCAGGCATTAGCTGAAGTTTAACTACAAACACTGCGTCACACAATGATCCAGTTTTCAGTTTACTGAGGTAGAAACTCACTTTTATCAACTTTTAACGCAGCAACTCTCATTATATTTTTCATATTAACAGTTACATACTCCAATAGCTTTACTTTAGTTACTTTAATTTTAAATACCGGGATATACCAATTTAGTTCAATCAACTTTATCTTTAAAACAATAACAAGAATTATATGAAGAACATCCCACTTATTTGGGAAATTAAAATAAAACAGAGTGGAGTCTTGAAACATATTAATGCTTGGGTGTCTTCTTTTTAAATTAACATCCATCTAGTTTAATACATTTGCTGATATCATCATGGTTTGATGACTGTAGTCTGGAAACATTCCCCACATTGATGTGCTTTGGGGTCAATAACCATTTTATTGACTAGACAGCATATTCATTCTGCTAAAAGAAAGTAAAAATGATCATTAGTGAAATAAAACAACCCAAATACAACATTCATACAAAGTTTCTGTAAGGCATTCCTTCACGCCAGCAGAGTCTGCAGCTTCCTCTTCCCAAACTTCAGCTCACCAGTCTGCTGTTTGCCAGCAAAACAAAAAGTGTCTGTCCGAGATGTGAGCGTCTCCTGCTCAGTCTTTAACACAGTCCTGGCAATGGCTTTGGTCTGTCCTGCAGCTAAGATTAGAAATGATACATACAAGAGAGCCGCAGCTCTGTAAAGTCTTTAGATTCATGCAAGAGACTGTACAGACTTTCAGTGATCTGTCACAGGACAGGCGGCTGAGATGCAGTCCTATCTGCAGGAGGAGCCCAGCACGCTGCCCGTCGACGGCGCGGTGGCGGTCGCGCTGTAGTGCGGGTAGTTGTCGTTTGGCGGCGGGCTTGGGAGGATGGAGTTTCCATTGGTGGGGGAGCAGCTGAGCTGGAGCCTCCGTAGGTACTCAGCGTGTACGGGTTTGTGGCTCTGCAGGACTTTGATGGCCTCGTCCACGGTGAACCACTCCCGCTTACGGCCTGCAGAGGGAGACAGAGGACACGTGTGAGTCAAAGGAAGCTTCCTGTATCAGATTTATCCTGCATCACGGTAAAGCACGCATACGAATCTGATTTATTTTATGCAATTATACGGAATTAAATTATTTAAACAGCCTGAAACGAAGACACTGAGAACTTTTTTCATTTTACTACACTTTACCAAAGATATTTTTAGCAGTAGCTCATAAAAGGAATCGTCTCCTTTTATAATGACGGAAATCTTCATTAATAATGAGAAGCAGGGCTGAAATATTTTGCTGCAAGTCACCACAGGAGGCAGTGTTTGTTTAAATTTTACCCACATCTAACTGGTTTGTCTGGTTAACAACATGAACCAAAGCAGGGTAAAGGTGGACGCTCTACCTTAAGGACAACATTCACAAGGAAATGCATGCGTCTCTACACATGAAAACACCACATCTATACTTACAAATGTGCACAAATGCACAAAAATATAGAGAATGTGTGCTATAAACAAGAGCATCGAGTAGAAGATGTTGTCCACTGAGCACAAAACAAAACCTGGCTGCATACTGACAGCTGTAATATACTGCAGCCGAGGCACCACTGCACCGGAGACCCGTGGCCTAGATTTATAGGCACCTGTTGTCACTCCATACCCCGATGCCCATACAGTCTGAGTGCAGTATACCGGCCCTCTCATAAATAAAAACAAACAGCATATTGTATGAGGTGCAGCCGGCCTCGGCAGCAGCACACAGATCAGTGACTGCAGACAGTCAGGAGATGGTGAAGGGAAACTGTACCTATGTTGACAGAGTCCTCCCAGGCCTCCAGTGTTTCTGTGACAGTCAACACATACACGTACGTCCGGTGCTTTCGGTCCTGGTTTTGCTTTAAGGATGAGAAAGAAAAGAATATTTAGCCATAGACATAAGTCAATGCACCATTAAATGAAAAATACATCAATTCATGGCCAATTCTCCTGACACATTCAGGGAATTTTATTTGAATACGCGCCAGGTTTAGATGTCAGTATGAGCATTTAAAATCGCTGCAACTGCACTTTAAACCTCTGATCAACTGGTGGCTTTGAAAGGCATGTTTTGTTTTGTTTTTTCCAATCATGAATATTACAAATTGAATTAGATCGTAAAAATGTGAAGAAAAAAATATACAACTTCTGGATGGTCCTTGAACTAAACTTCTTCTGTTACACCAGTATATGTAACCAAATGCAACCCTAAAATTGTGACATTTCATTAAAATCACTTTATTCTACATAGAATTTGAAATTCACCAAAAATACATCACTTGAGGTAAACAGATTCCGTAAAAGACAAATAATTTGGCGCTCGTCAGTGCAGTCGGGAAGCCGTTAGTGACTCAGCAGCAACCAGCAGTCATGTGACAAAAATTCAGAGACGAGACTATCAGATGATCTAGGCTGAACTGCAGACTGTGTTTACACAGGAGTCAAGCACTGAAACAAATTAAGAAGTAAAATGTCTACAGTATGTAGAGCCACCCATTTATCCCCCCAGTATTGTTAACACCTGTGAACACTTGGAAAAACCCTGTACATGTTGATTCCAGGTTTCACTTTTAGTAAAATAAGTCCTGCTGTTTCCATAGAGGAGCAGGACTTTATATTACAGTGAATATTGAGTCCATAGTGAGAAAAATGTGACAGGAGCCAAAAATACTCTTTGGGGAGTTTAAGTACATATTTAAGCTCACCTCAAATACACCGAGCAGGCGTCCCAGCTTGCCCTTCACACCGGCCTGAGAAACAAAACAAGAAAAAAATGTTTTCTGTTATTTTTCTGTAGCTGCGGTCTCACAACGGAATCACTCACATAACTGAATAGAGGATGAAAACAATAGAAAAGCCGCATTCAGGCTCAGCTATGGTCTGTGTGCAAACAATAGGAATTGTGTATTACATTACAGTGTTTTTAAGAACGTCAGACCTGCCTCTGTGGACTGAACTCAACTCTAACCTCCTGTGCTTTGTTTTGACAAGCAATTACCCAAACATAAAAAAAAATCAGGACAAAACTAAAGAATAAATCCCTGTTCCTGGACGGAGGTATTTTGGGAGGGTTTTTTTTCTATTCACAGCTTCTTCAGTTTTTATAGAAACCTCCAGCCAAGTGACAATCTGAATAGGTGTAATAATCCCATATGGAGCCATGAAGATTGCTTATAGGATATGAAGTCGTTAGAAAGGACTTAAGGACATTATATAATAAGAGCCAATCATTAGCAGTGTGCTATCGCCTGGAGAAAACCTGGCACCAAACCAGAAAGAGTGCTATTACGGAAATGTAACTATGCCCCCTCATAACAGTTGTTTTATTAATTCAGACGTACTTGGCGAGAATTAGATTACTGTCAAGACATATGACATCTGTCCTTTTCCCTGCTCAGCATACTTCACAAGTGTCACTCTGTCCCACCGATGGGCGCAGCGGGACAGACTGCCGGCTCTGTGAATGCGCAGGAATCCAGCAAAGAGCCAAGTTTAGACCGCTGACGTGGCCGAGAACACAAGGTTCTCAACCGGCAGGACCTCTGAAATACCATCGGACTCCTCAGTCACCCAGCGACTGACACTGTGGCCCTTCAAACATCTCGCCCTTGGCATGCAACCGTGCACCTTCAAGTCTGACTACTTGAGCGTGTGTTTTTTTTTTTCTAACTGGAAACGGTGTGAGATGGTCTCATTTGTCATCTGTTTGAGATCAATTTTAGGAATCAAAACATCGCAGGTATCTTGTTTTCTGCAGCCACGCCAATGACAGCTGAATTATGCTCCTCCTCTCTCTTTCCTTTAAATATGACGTGTCTCCAAGCAGTGCTCCCCTTAGTGACACAAATATCTTGGACTAAAATAAAACTACTAGCCTCGATACCTGTAGCGTTCTGTGCACTGCCTTCTAAAAAATGTGGGAGCTATGTGAAAAATCCTGCAGTTTGAACACAGATATCTGCAGCAACAGAGCACTTTTACAGCAGCTGGAACACGGAGACATTTACAGAACCCAACCAGCACCTTTCCCCGTCACATTTCACTCTGGTGCAACACTGATGCATATAAACCTGTGTGTCATAAATACTTTTGCTTCTGCATGTAAAAGAATTGACACAATATCTGTATTTTCCCACTAGCAGAAGAATCTATGCGATACAAAACCTATTCTAAAATAACCATGTGCAATATTGTTATTTTCAACATTCAAAGGAATACGTGCAAAATCTACATTTCTACAAATAAGAGATTCTGCCCAGTATCTACAGTACCTGTGTGTATATCCAGTTTTCTTGATTTTTCTACTGACTTCCCTATACTTTTTGCACTACATCTTATCTCATTGCATTGTTAAAAGCAGATTTTTTTCTTCGACAGGCAGTCCTTGGATGTAGGTTACGACTAAAAAGCTGGTGTGATGTGACCAGTGATGCAGACTTTAACCTTTACCTCGTCTCACCATCTGCTCGTTTTATGATTATGACCTCACTTTTGGAGCCGATACTTGGCTTCGCCGATATTAAAACAAAACCAAGCCGATCCACCGATTTGCTCACCTCCTCGAACACCTCTCGCACGGCGGCGCCACACGGCTCCTCCTCCGGCTCCATCCCTCCTCCGGGGACGATCCACTGGTCCGGGTGCCGACTGCTGCTGACCAGCAGAACCTGCAGAAGAAAACGACGTTAGGAAACCGTGTTGACCTTTTTATTTCGCCGTACAATGAGGATGTGTGACAGGGAGAGCTCTCACGTTTTGCCTTTTTTTAACTTTAATTTAGTTTGAAGGAACCTTCTTTTCAGCACACAGTGGCGCTTTCAGAGGCTAAATTCATTTACAGTGGCCTTGACTTGACTCAATTTGTCACGTAGCACAAAGTGAGGGTTTGACGTGAGCCTTAACCCTTTGGACTCAGGAATCAAGGACAAGATGACAAATGATTGGTGGTGCTGCTTGCAGAATATCTATTTTGTGTTCTGCGTGAAATTAGTACATGGAAGTGATGGAAAATGTAAGATAAATGATTCACTCTCAAGTCTTCATTCTTAAACATTTGAATAATTACACACTGACCTTGTGTTTTTGACTCAAATGAAAATTGAATGACATTTTAGAGGCTTATTTTTATTCTCAGTGCAAACTTTCTACTTTTTTTCTGATTTTCCTTCTGTCTGTGAGGCTTCAAGCACCTGTCATCTCTGACAATACCATTTTTGACATTTCCTTCCAGTCTGGTAATCAAGCTCAATCAACCCCAGCGTGGACGTGTTTCCACCACAACACCACCCCGCCGAACAATGCGTGTAAACCCGGCGTGAGCCTCTAAAATCCTGCCGGTGCTCCCCTGAGTGGCCCGCCAGGGTTTTGAATTACACTACAGTTGCAAAGTACAGCGATGTGCGCGGATCAGATGTGCCTGCGTCTGCGGTTTCTGGAAGGATCCGTACGGCAATCAAAACAGACACGGGCGCACCTGCTGCAAACATTATCACATTTGAGCGGAGCAATTCAATCGTCATTAACACATTGGGGCCAGTTGTCAGGGGCCGAGGTCGTAATAATATCAACAGGCAGTAAAGGGGGAAACAATGACGCAGGATTCAGTTACAGTCGGTTCTGATTCATGTGCATTTGATCAAACCTACAGCTTTTTATTTCGCATGCAAGTGGGCAAAAACATCTATTAGGCCAGTGAGGTTGAGGCAAAGAGGCCATGAACTTGTTATCATTAAATTAGCTCATCAGTGTAGGAAATACTCTGCAGCACACACCAAGCAGTGAATGTAAATATAAATGTATTAAAGAGAGAAACGTGTGTTAAGCAGCTTGTGCAGCAGATGGTGACATCTTCCACCGCCACCCATCTGATCACCATACCCAGTAATCTGCCAGCGGAGTCAGTCTGTCACTTAATCCGATCTGAGCTTTCTTATAGCTTCCTATAGTTTTCTCTAATGAGATTGTGGCCGCGGCTCCCAGAGGCCTTCTGAGGCTCTTCTGGAGGCCAAAACCAATAATACGGCACATGCTCCGGGGGGGACCTGGACGCTTCCTCACGTGCTGCTCACCTCCACCACCTGCTCGGTACGATATAGGTTAAGAACGAGCGAGAGCGGGTGGAGGCGACGGGGTGCGAATGTCGAACATGATGACGCGGATTAAGTGCGTGCGCGCTCGGTAAACATTTCCCGGAGATGAAACGGTTCTTGAAACAGGTGTTTATCCTATATGAGCAGGTGTAATGTTATACGGCGTACAGTGAACGGCATATGTTAAAGGAAGGGGCATTAACACGCTCAGTACAAGCAGTTCTGGTTCAGTGGGTGACGTCTTCTCAGAAGCGTGCAAACTGGAAGAAATGTGCAAAGTTGAACCTGGTAACCTGCCTGAGTGAGCTCTTTGATGAATAAGATGCCAGGGAGGTCATTTAAAACAAACTGAAAGTGAACTTTTGTGCTTTAAATCACTGGGGGGGGGAGGAGAAGGTGCTGATTAGTTTTCTTTGGGAGATTCAGATGACCTTTTTGATTCTGTGTCTCATTAAGATTCTATTTGACCTCCTTTTTCAATGTGAATGTCACCAGCCAGCAGTCTGTTTTCATTATCAAGAAGTTCCACGCAGCGTCCAGCTATTTCAGTGGCATGGCGTCATAAAAAATTCATCCCTTCCTTTTTTTTTTATTGTTCTGGGTGTGTTAAGAGATTTCAGAGCGCTGCAACCTCCGGGCCTCACCGTCCGACTGTGTGCGAGTGTGTTGAGCTGCTGCCAACGAGGCTTAAAGGGAGATCACTGGTGTCAAAGCGCCCTAAGCCGACAGTGTGGGGATGTATACAAAACAAAAGCCACGCAGCTTCCGGGGCAACAAGGACAAAAAGCAGGTTTCTGCTCGGCTTGTTCTGCTTTTATGTCTTCCTCGCTGCTGCTCGTTGGTCCATCCTCGTAAACACGGCACACAGGCCTCGTTTGAGTTTGATCTAATGAATGTAGGAATGTAGAGTGTCGAATCCACATATTACAAACTGTATTTAATTAACTATTTGCTTCTTCACATGCGCCTCTGAGGTGAATACAGCTGCAGGTTTCATAAGGGGGAGCAGCAGTGTCATGGTGCTGCCTTTGAGCTAAAAGACAAGTCAGCAAAAAGAGACAGTTTGTCGTTGTAATAAAATCAAGCCTGAGCTGATCGTTCTGCATCATCATTAGAACAGTTTCCATTCATGTGTGTAAAAACAGCTGGATGAAACCAACAGAAAAGTCACATTTTTCCATGTCGTTTCCAGCATTTGCGCCCCCTTCCTTCCTCTCTTACAGTCTAATGGCACCAGCTGCTTATCCTGACATGCTAAACTTCTAATATTCAACTGCATTTCAATGAGCGACTGTTCACATTACTGTCACAAATTAAGCTGCAAATCCAGACACCACAGCACATGTTGGTTTTAAACCAAGTGAAAGAGGAGAGTCCAGTAACTGTGACCATCAAAAGCATCAATACCACATATCCAAAGTGGCATAAAATGAACAGAAAAAGACCGTTAAACTATTATCCGTGACTAAAGTTTCATATTCGTGACAACTCTAGTTTCTTGCTTTGACTGAAGTTCAACACCAACCACCATGTTCCAACTTTAACTTTTACTTTCCAACCATCTTTTGCCACTTTCAGTTTTATTTCAACTTTTATCTGTTCCTTTACTACTTGAACTGATTATTAATTACTTCTACACAACAGTATTGCCCCATTTCTACCTATATCTCATTGCTAATCCTTATCTGTTTGGTTGCCGACTTCTTCTCAAGCATCACACGGTGTTGACTTAATATCAGGGCAGAATTTTTAGAACAAATATTGTAATTTGTTGTGCGATTTAATTCTTCAGAGTCAAGCTTTGGTTCACTAATATTCACTGTGTAAGAGATTTAAAGCATGTGACCACCTAAGATATGATCAAAATATGAACTGCTCTATATTCTAATGCATGAATTAAAGCTGGTTTGGAGGTAGCGTGTTGTGGTATGAGCCCTTTTATTACAGAGTAACAGCTGGAAACTACACTGAAATAGTAGTTTATTGACTCAGTGAATTTTTACACTTTTTACACACGTACACAACTACTGCTCTTCTTCAGAATCTAAGTTTCCAATGTTGGTTCTGGTTCAGCGGAGGCCATTTTTCTGCACCATGGATGTCATGTTTTTGTGGGTTTTGTGGGTGTTTCTTGTTTATGTAGTCACTTCTGAATGGTGATCATGACTGTCACACAAGCAGCACTGTATGGAAACATCAAAACAATAACACCAAAGTTTAAACTTTGTATCCTAAACTGCAGCATTTGCAATTTAGTCATTGCATTGTTTTAAACCAGTCACTTGAAAACGATTAATTGTTCAGCCTTACTTAATATGCAGATGTGTATTTTTTTAATCAAATCTATATTAAATCAAATTATGACTTGTACTTTGTGAATTTCGTAGCTCTATTCTACGATCTCTCGATGTGCTTCTTGGTAACTGTAGAAAAAACAGCACGCAACAACCCCCGACTGTAAATCCTTCACTTTAAAGAGACACATATCTATGCTACACACAGCACTTCACTTTTTAAAAGCGCTCCTGTAACTTTTGACAAGCATAAATAAAACAGCGATGCTTTACAGGCTACGATGTGCAGAGAGAGAGAAAAAAAAAGAAAAAGCAAAACAAAATAACTCACACCACCCTGATAGATAGGTCAACGGTCAGCTGACAGCTAAACTCCGAGCACAGAAAACACACTTATATTTGGAAAGAAGGTCAGGATGAAACCTCAGAGGGAGCACTGTAGTGTTTGCCAGTGACATTTTACCGTTTTGCGGCTCACGCTACTTCCCAAGAACCATTCCCACCCACCCCCAGTGTGAAAAAGGACACGAAGTACACGTACAGTAAGTAAAGCACTGCAGACCAATACCAAACTAACCTGCTGTTAGCTGATCTGTCTCTTATCCAGAAATCAATCTATCAATGCAAATACAGACAAGTTTAAGCCTTGAAGCCTGAACCGAAACGACACTGAATCAGCCTGTAAATTGGAAAAGCCATAGAATTTATCAACTGTTTGATAACTACAATTAAAATATGCAGCTTTCTTGAATTGCAGATAACAGAACAAGCACTGGTAGTAAAACACAATTTATGACAGCGAGTACTCTGGCATGGCCTCAGACGGGGACAGAAGGCAGGAATATTCTGCAGGACATAAACACCTCCTCCTCCTCCTTCTCCTCCCCAGGGAGGAACGCCTGGAGCTGTCAAATAAAGAAGGCTCCAAAGGCCACGTCGAGCCGGGAGGAGAGAATGATGGAAAGTCGTGGACACTCAAGAGCACGAGTGCAGAGGCACAATCGATAGTGCTCAGACAGTAATGCAGTCGCTGCACTACACAGCTACAACCAGAGCAGTAACAAACAGTGAATATCAGGGAGCCGGAGACTCTGAACGCCTACATTTCTCATCCTCCTGCACTGATAAGCTCCTCCTGTCACTTCCAGTGCGACAATATTTACAATCTGCTGTAGTGCTTTAAACATCTCCCTGCTGGGTTATAAAACAGTTGTTTTGATCCGAGTTTCACTTCTCTTTTACGCTAAATAATCTTATGACATTACCTCAGGTTTACTCTGATAAACGTCTCTGTTAGACTCTGACTGATAAGAGTTTGGTGCATATGAGGCTGCTTCTATGTCAAAAAAAAACTAAATATTGGTACAATTTTAAACTTTGAAATCAGAAATTAACATTACAACTCAAAGCTGCAGTAAGTGTGACATATTGTGACTGCATAAAGCTGATATTGTGAACCTGACTGTTTACACATTCAAGAGTAACATTAGCATTCATACACAGTCCTCTTTCTAGCTGTGTGATGTAGCAAGCACATTTTTCACTCAGTTTTAGCCCCATTTTCAGTCTCCTCCACTTCCTTAGCTAAATATTGCTCAAGTTTGGAGCTGGTAATGGAATTTTTGGACCTGTCGGCAAAAAAAAAAAAACAACAACTGGTTGCCACTGCAGCTGTTAAAAAACCAGCTGAGTAAAGCAGTGAGACTGAACCAAAACAGCAAAACTGGAGGCAAGAAAACCAAAACAATGAGCATAAAGTTGTTAAAAAATGCTAAACTGCAGTCAGGCAATAATTCCCAATAGATTTGTCGCTATAAACAACCCACATCACCTTACACTAGGTCATTTAATCAATTGTTAATACAAAAATATTGATTACAGAAGCTTTAAAGCCATACAGGCATTACAGTTTGATTGGATTATTGCTGAACCACGAGGCCACTGTGATGAAGTCACCTCAAGAACGCCACCAAATTTGTTGCTTTCACTTCCCAACAACCAACAAAAATACTGTTGATAAGTTTCAACAAAATTCAGATTTAAGTATTTATAATTAAATAGTAACTGGTTTCAATTTGAGATAAGAATAAGAATGTATAGACATCATGGAGGAAACAGTGCACTGCTTATTTAATTATGGGTTTCTACAACCTACCACTGCTTTATTACAGGCATAATAATTAAAGAGGCTCTCCAGGCGACACGAGGCCTCTGTAATTCTCTTGCTGGTAAACTCAGGTGGCCTCCTCTGCTATCATTGCCGTCCCTCTGCACTGTCAGGTTCCCTTTTTCCCCTGTTGGGAGTTTAATTGCTGTCACAGAGTAGCTCGCCCTGAGGGCTCTGCTTTCTCCTTTCCTGTCCAAAACAAAACAGCTGAGCAGCACATACAGCTCCTATTTCACCACAGTTGGGTGTCCAGTGTCCGGGAACTGATTCTGTGTGCGCGCAGTCATGTGGTTAAGGAAAGCAAAAGGTATCACAAAGCCCAACATCTCAAGCTTCGCTGAGACAGCCATTGTTTGCACCCCAATTACAATCAGAGCATCAGATTGGGTCTCTTACTTCCAGCAGTATCATCTTTGTGAGTGCGTGAGTAGACATGCCTGTCAAAGCCTGAAAATCCTGAGAGGGGTGGTCACACCTACACAATTCTGTTGTCACAATATTCCTTGACTGTCCTGACTGTTCATGTCTAGTCATAGGAAAAGAATTAGGATGTACAAGTTCTGAGAAACATTTTGCAAGAGTGAAGGAACGCAGGTACAAAGTGTTGCAAAACAAAGAGAGTGCATGACGTACTTCTGATTTTACGTCAGCAACTTTGCAAAATATCTAAATCTCTTTGATGGCTTCACATCCTCACACAAGGACGGCATAACATCTCGCATATGTAAGCGAGCAGATCTGCTGCATCTAAATTTTTAGATACGAGTGTTGTACAGCCAAACACCAGACGGCCCAGGGGGGAGCGCTTTCTGCCAGCCGAGTGACACCAGACTGGGCTGTTTTTACTGTATATTGTGTAACACTTTGTTTATGCCACGCTCTAAGAGGAGGCTAAATTTAGACAAGCAAGAATATGAAGGAGAGAGCCTCGACTTATGGACACAAATATGGCTTGCTAGTGAAATATTCATGGCTGCAAACCACAAACGAAAACAAAAGCAGGACGATGAAGATGAACACAACTCAAAGCATGACGTATAGATTAATATCAAAGGGTACTATTTCCCTCTCAATAGGAAGTGGTTGCCAAAAAAGTACATGTAAACAAACGGCAGTCTGTGTTGAATCACGTTTTTTCTTTTTTTTGTTCTTATGTGTCAAAGCTTTTAGACTGACTTAGACCAACCCTTTTACTAAACTATATTTACTTTGTTAGTTCTATCCCCTGCAGCTTTTGACCCATTTGATGTGTCATCTATATTAGCTATGGGTCAGTGGGCTTGTTGCTGTTTGTGTACGTTGCATGCAAAACACTAGTTACATGAGTTACTCAAAGTAGTTTATGTCTAGAAATCCAAAAACATCGTTTTGTAGGATTTTGCATTTCTGTAGCACCACATAACTGGTAATGGCATGTTGTGGCACATTTTACTTTCATGAAAACAATCTGCAGCTCGTACAATTTGGAGATAAACACAACACAAACTATGACATACAACATAATACGCTGCTGTTTACACTGCCTGCTCAACAAAAACAGGTTAGATATAGATATTGCCAAAAAGTAAATGTAAACAAAAAACATTATTTATCTATTAAATGTCTATTTTGTTAGTTTAACCTTTCCTGAAGCACCACAATGCTTCGTTTAAAGTGGCATGTTATAGCATTTTAGTTATATCAACATAAAAATGATTTGGAGATAAACGCAACACAGTGAGCAATGCTAACAGAAACAAAGAAATGGTTAAATATAGATTTTGCCTAAAAGCAAACGTGAACAAAAATATTTTTTGTCTCTTGAACGTCATTTTTTGTGGGGTTTGAATACCGTTTGTTACAATTTTCCACACTGACTTACACTAAACCTTATACTAAATTGAATGTATTTACTTGGTTAGTTCATCTTGTGCAGCTTTTGACCTGTTTCATGTGTCATCTGTACTTGATATGGGTCACTGGGCTTCTTGTTCGTCTTGTCTTTGGATGTCACAGCTATTGTATTATTCATAAAGCTGAAAAAAAAAACCCATACTGTGATTCTTTTGACGGATACTCTGTCACTGTGAGTCATGATTTCAGTGGGAATTATCATTTCTGCATTTGCTTTCTACTGAAAACGAATGTAAAACTGATTATATGATTTCTGCATGTTCAGTGATGATGAATAGGACATGACATCTCTGTGAGCAGCACAATGCTTCATTTCAATAGCGTGCTGTGACACATTTCAACTTTATTTATCTAGATTAACTGTTCATGCCTTATTATTAATTAGGTTTAGAAAGCTACCAAATCCCCCTATGAGGTGGATCTAAAGTATCACCTAGAGAAGTCTTTAAGGCAGAGCAACATTATGTGTCTGTCAGCTCTCATTCATTATTTACATGGTGAAGGTCCCTTTAAATCCTCATCCACATAATTGCTACGCAGCTGCCCGCTCGAGGCCGGCGGGATGCAGCAGAACCGTGAATGGCCGTTACTCTGTCACGGATGCTGTGTCGGTATTAAAAGCCAAGTGACGCCACGTTTCATCGGTATATTTAGTAATATCTCCGTGGCCTATATTCCCCGTCCCGTCACTCGACACGAGCCCACGTTAAACCTGCTATTAAGGGAAACGTGCGGCAGAGCAGCGCCTCGCCCCCCTCTCGCTCTGTTAGCCGCGTCAAGCTAGCCAACAAGCTAAACAGACGTAGCGCGGAGTCACCTTCAAAATAAGAGCGCTACCTGAGCTGACGCGGCTGTTTCCAGCGGAGTTTAACATCGCGGGGTTTTATTTTGAAAGTCGTACGTTGCCAAGCAGCGTCGTCTTGACAACAGCGCTTTTTCTCCTTTCTGCTCCTGAAACTAGCCTAAACTGGATGGCCCGAGGCGCATCAGCAACACAAACCACAACAGTGTCCTCTAGCAGAAACACCATGAATGTAGCTGCACAAACAAAGAAACACCATAAACCAAACCCCAATAAATGTTATCAAAGGATATTCCCTATTTTATCCATGAGCGCCCGTTCTGTGTGAATGACTGGGTGCACATTGATGTGGAGGGACTAGGCCACAAAGTCACAACACGGCACCGCTGCAGACTGTTGTTAAACACAGCTGCCTTACCTCCTCCTCACGTTCATTCTTGAAGCACAGACACGCCGCTCTCTTCTTGAAGCCATCTCCGTCGTATGTCCTGGTCTGGTTCGGCTTGAGCTTCATTGTGAATTAAATAACTGCCTCCTTCAGAAAAGAACCGGCAAAAAAAAAAACAAGAGGGGTGGTCCAACGAGTTAACAGCAGAGCCGCCGCATCGCTGCTGCTGCTTCTCTCTGCATCCGTGGATCCGAGGCACTCAGTCACAAGAGGAGGGTTATCTGGAGACAGACTATCCCGGATTTAATGTTTTCCTCACGCAGGTCAAAGCTCCAGGTGGTACCTGTGATCTCCAGTCGACAGTGAGTGTGTGCAGCCCCACAGAGAGAGATCTTATGTAGACTACAGCCTACACAGCACAGCCCTCCTCTGGATCCATTTGCGCATGGCCGCTGACTCAGTACAATGAGCAGGCAGCTGGAGCTTCAGTCACTCCTCTGAGGCTGCGCGCAGCTCATTGGCTGGGCCGCTCTGAGTGGGCGGGGCCACGCTTCTGCTCAAAACAGTCCTAAACATTTCCAGCAGTGCTGCAGGGGCCTGTGATCCAGAGTGAGTTAACCAAACAAGTCAGGCTTATTCCAGTTAGTCTGACTTACTCTCAGGTTATTTCAGTGACATAAACAGTTCAAGCTCAGTTACTGTGGCAGGCTATGCTGGGAGACTAACCTGACAGGCCTGCAACGATGCCAGTTTGACTAAGCTGGGTTGACAAAACCTATAATCAAAGTCAGACGTGACACAATGGTGGTTATTAATTTTATTTGTCAACCAGGTTTTCTTCTTCAGACTCGTTCACATAAAAGGGTAAACATGTCATGTGACTGTTTTTCTGCTCAAAATGGACCAATCATGTGTTGCTGCAGTCAAGAAGAACTGGTTTTAATAATGGAAAGTTATGACAACTAGAAAAGGTAAAAAAAAGGAAAAAACTTGCAAAAAATGCAAGATAGGAATGCTGTTTAAAATGATTAATCGTGCAGCTTCATATATTTGTTTTACAGCAGCTACTTATGTCTGTCTTGACAGCTGCAGTTTAAAGCTGGTTTTAACTTTATTCTTTATTGTCAGGGCTTAGCACAAAAAAAAACATGTTTATGTATTTTCTGCATCTCCACCTTAATACATGTATGTTTCTGTGACAATGCAACATATAGAGTGTGTAATGCTATGACTGCATGGCTTCATTCAGTGTCATTAATAACACACAGCTCGACAGGTTTGCAGATATAACAAATTCCCTCAGCTGAGAATCTGTATCACTCAGGGATTCGTCAGGGAATGAATTGGTGTAACGGTGGTGTTTCTTACAGCTGTATAAATCCAAAAGTCCTCCAGAGCATTTGGCACCATGGTGATCTAGCAGGTTAAAAGAGAACCACAGTGGATTTTAAGGTCAACATACCTCGCTAATCTGCTAATTTTTCTTCATAGCAGTGGCCTCTGGTCCAGGGCAGGCCAACTGTCAGGCTAAGCCTAAATTGTTGCTTAGCTTGAGAAAACAGGTAATCAAAATATGTTTCTGAAAACATTTGAAGAAAGAAATAATCCACTGAATCTGTCTTCACTGTTTAGATCTGCAGTGGTTAGTTTAAAAGAGGGATTACATGGCTCATTTGGCCTGGGATTCTCCAGGAGGAGCTGGAAAATGTTGCTCACGAGATTGAAGTCTGGAATGACCTGCTTACCCAGAGAAAAGGAAAAACGTGGATGGATGCATCGATCCAAAAAAATTCACAGAATTTCAGCTTTAATGAATATTATCTTGAATAAATTACACAATGATGAATGACAGGAAGTAGACCCATACGTGTTCAATTTTATGATATGTGACATCAAATGTTTTGGCTTCTGCTACATTAAATAGGTCTCAGTCTAAATTGCTCCAAAAGAATGTTAGTATTTAACACAATAACTGTAAAAAGCAAGGGATACATTGACCATAAATGTATAGCCATCTTGGAAACGTCTATCAGGAAAATAGAGGAGACATGTAAACTATATTAGAATATGCACTGGTTAATATATGTTAAACAATGTCCAAACAGTAAACTTAGCTGTTTAGTTGATGAATGATTTGTGTCCTTTTTTGTATATTATGGTGTTTCTTGTCATTTATGAGGTGGTAAACAGAAGAGCGAATACAAGCAATTAGCTTGACTACTTGAGCCTGAATCAAATTAGCCTGATTTTGTTAACTTGAGTTGACCTTTATGGACCCACTTTAGCCCCGACTGATTTATTAGCTTCATTCAGGTCATGTGTTGGACTTTATTCTCCACTTTTCTTAGCATGCTTTATGGAACAGGCATGAAATAATATTTCCTGTATATATAATTTATTTATTTATTTATTTTTACCTAAAGTGTTTCTAAATGCTGTTTAAAGCATTCTCAACACTCCCAGGAATTGGGAAATACTCTTTTCTTTCTTTGCTAATCTAAAAATCATCAAATTTTAAGTGCTGAGTATATAGAAATAACTCTCCTATGAGTGACAACACCCCAATTCCCAGAAAACAATACACATGACAAGACCTCAGTGTCCTCTGGAGCTGCAGCTTTGATGTTGCTGCGGTGCATAACTAAAAGAAAAAAACCTCTTCCTTTAAATAGACAGTGTGACAGTATTTATGCTACAGTGACAGCTTTACACTTCAAACAAGAGATGTTAGTATTGTTAGAGAAACACTGTAAGTCATTCTAGACTTTATGGTCTAAATATTCTCACTGTGAGATCTCGTGTGACGACTGCAAAGGACAACAAAAGTCAAAGCACACAGAAAGAAGCAACAAATTAATGTTTCTAAATTACAGTGTTGTGTAATTCAGAGAGAATACAGATTCATTAAATTCACTGTATTTGGGGCTTTTTCTAACAGACAGCAGACAAATCACATATTTTCAAAAATAGTAATTTGTTTTTATGTGTGTGACCATAAATGTACTGTTTCACTTTCACTGGCTAAAGATATCATTATTTTATGGATATTTGCTGGGGTTTTTTTTTTTTTTTTTTTTTTTTTTTTTAGAGCATTTGAACATAACAGTATTCAACAGTTTTTACTTTGTTTGTTTGTTTGTTTGCTTGCTTGTTTTGGCACTCTTACAGCATAGTTTTTTTTAACTGGATTTTTTTGTACAGTGTTTTTAAGTGGCTGCAAGGTGGCTCTGTGGTTAGCACCATTGCCTCGCAGCAAGAAGGTCGCTGGTTCGCCTCCCGGTGAGGACACCCAGGATCTTTCTGTGTGGACTTTGCTGTCTCTAAGTGTAGCCCTGTGATAGACTGGTGACCTGTCCAGGGTGTCCCCTGCCTTCACCCTAAGTCAGCTGGGATAGACTCCAGCCCCCCACGACCTTAGTGAGGATTAAGCGGTGTATAGATAATGGATGGATGTTTTTAAGTGATTCCGGTTAAGAATCCTGGTGTTGTACATGCCTGCTCACTGCCCTGACTTAGTTAGACCTAAACATTAAAATGCCTTCAGTTAAAAAGGTCTATTCTTAAAAGTGAAGCTCAACTGACACAGACAGATCATCCTGGAAATTAAAGGTTATGAGTTAAATCCCTCCTCATGCCACCCCTCTGCTCTGCTTGATCTCCACGTTATGTGAAACACAGAAATCAAAGCTTTAAAATCCCCCAAATATGTGTTAATCATATTATTTATAACCCACCAGGACCGGAGCCCCACCTCTTCCCAGATTGTTAAGGCTCAGCTCATTATTAATGCCATTCAGATCCGACAAATAAAATCCCCCGTGTTATAATATCTATTTGTCATAAAGCACTCGACCATAACTATTTTATTGCACGTTATCGTGGCAAGTTCCACCTTTCACATTTTAAAGATAGATTCAGTCTCCCTTTATTTACATGAAGTTTTTCAGTACATTCAAAGTAACTTGCTGCTTCAACTAAACACTGGTTTAAGCATCACCTCCTACATTCTGCTTTCAGGGTGTTTCTGATGAATTTTTGCACAAGATCACGTACTACATCCTCAGTCTACTGTGTTGGGAAATCAGTCGGTGACTCCCAGGTTTTGCTGAATTTACATCATGACTGCGGTCATTTTTGTGTCAATCCCTACCAATGGGGAAGAGCTGTTTACACAATCGGTTAAGCACACGGCATTGGAGGTATTTATCAGAATTATTTGAGGTTTGTGAAAGCTGAGGGTCAGAGGTCTCCATGTTGCAACACTTTTCTTTTTTGAGCTGGATTGTCTTTGTGAATAAGAGCCACTCCTGGATAAACACATTAGAGTCAAATCTGCATCAGATCATATCTCCTGGCGCTCCCATGTTCTGGCTACGTTCATATTAAACTCACATAATGTCAAAGGAATGAAAAACGCCATCCCTTCCTTCTATCAACAGGTGGGGTTTCTGACTCTGTAGCTGCACTGTGAGCAGCTGTAACTTATTAACTGATTAAATGCAGCTTCAATTACATCATTTAAACCCGCAGCAGATAATGAAATCATAGCTTGAAGGAGGCAGAGTAGATTCATGTGTTAATGACACATGGTTGAGGTGAAACCTGTTTCCAGATGCTGTAACAGCCTCCTCGGTTCACTTTTGACCTGCAGGCTGAGCAGGACCCGCATGTCGCAACACTGCAGATAACACCGAAAGCCGAATCACTTCCCGAAGATCAATAAATAACAATCAAAGTTGGCCCAAGACAGAGACAATCCACTTGTTTGTGAAGATTATCAAGTGATTCTTTATCTTATCTGACCTCCTAGTGGGTTGTTAGAAGACAATATGCTGACAAAATTTGGCAGGTTAATGCCTGTGACTTAGCATCATATTAACATTTGACTCTCAGTTGATATCTAGGTACTTGGGTTGTGCATTTCAGGGAAGTATATTTAGTCCATTCCTTTGGGCCAGACTCAGATATAACAACTTTTAGATAGATTGCAATGAAATTTTGAACTGAAAATGAATCTAGCTGACTTTGGGGATCTCTCTGGTGCCGCCAGCAGATTGGCATTTGTGGTTTTGCGAGAGCTTTCTTGGCATTTATTGAATGTTTTAAAATAAAATCTGGTTCTTGCACCCCTCAGGCTTAATTGTAAGAACTGTGGTGATTCAGAGTTTTAGTACAATATTTAGTTTGAATGCTGAAACTAGAATATATAACAAAAACATAACTGTTTTATTCACCGCTGCTTGGCTGCTGACTTACTTTGCCTATGAGGCTTGAATTTTGTGGGTATAAACTGCATCAAATGAACTGCCTTTCTTGGGATCAAAGAGCTTGTCTGAATCTGGAGAGTGTTTTAACAAAAGTGGCACCAAATTTGTACCAAAGTGCTTCCTGTGCCCACCTCTCCGCTAAGCCT